TGTTGAGGCGTAAGCCTCAAATCAAGGGGCTGGAGCTGGAATTAACTCTAAAAAAAATCAATTAAAAACCAGAACATAATTTAAAAATATATTTTGGAAGCATGCTCCAGCTTGGCTGCCCACCCTCATCTCTCTTGACTTTAGTAGTTATATAGCACTTGAATATGCTAACCAGATTTCAACATTACCACACAACTGAAATCAATAAAGCTGGGTTTATAGCTTTAAAGCAACTGCATTAGTTGCTTGCAGTCTTAGAGCCAGAATATAATGTTCTTAACACGCACTTGCCTTTCATTTACCTCCTTAGATTTTTACAAAGGGAAATTACCTGATGACTCTTCTGAGGTTCTGCTGCAGTGCCTTTTGATAGCTGCTGTACTTCTTTCTGAACTTCAGCAAATGCTTTATTTATTGTGCTAACTTTCTCAGCATTTCTAATGTTTATCTGGGAGGGAAAAAAAATACATTGGTATTTTTAACTGAAATGCCATTGGCACGTAAAATTGCACCGTTTTTGTACAACTATTATACAGCCAGTGTTACATGCATGTCTTCCAAAATTGTTTTTTAGTAGGTATGTTTTTAAACTTGAGTTTATCTGTTAGTTATATCATCTAGTCATGTACTACTAATGTTGTAATAAATTGAAAATTATGAAAGCAGTTAAACTTGTTCTATTGAAAAGGGATCCCATAGTGATCCAGAAGCAGAACACAGAGAAAACAAAGGCCAGGCTGTGGACAGGCCCTGCTATGCCACCCTCAGCTCCTCTTAGCTGGAGTGGAATTCCAGGAAGGGCTCCTTCCTTCTTTTGTAAATGATCTTATCATTTTCAGTTTCTTCCAGTAGTTTGCCTTTGAGCATCACACCTTGCATTTCTGCTTGTTCATACTGTAGGTCTGGCCAACAATGTCTATTGGCTTTTGCTAGGGTATTTAAAGAAACTTCTGTGGCTGTAGCAGACCAGGATGTGTGTCTGGTCCCTGGACACCTCAGTCTCACTTACTAGCCCAAGTCTGCCTTCATAAGTTATTTCAGCAAAGATGCTTGCTTTTGAAGGTGAAGAGCTAAGATACGGATGCGTGCTGTGCTCTGGGGACAATAATCTGTCATAGAGGAGCAGGGTGGATGCATGGGGCCATCAACACTTTCACCACTGCAGCAAACTAAAATTCAGCTGATCTCAGCCCTAGCACTTGGTGCTTCTGAAGCACCAAGTCTGGAACAGGATTGTAGCCAGATAATGGCCTATTACATTGCAAACATTCCAGAAAGACACTCATACTTCTTCAGGCAACCCCAAATTTCAGGATACCTACTGCTGTTCCAAGGGCTACCCCTGTAATTCGCCTCTCAGCAATTTACATAGGCAGAAGCAAACCGTGAACTGTTAAACGTATTCACTTTGCTTTCAAAGCTTCCATAATTTCAGAGCGTGTGTACATTAACAATAATTCCATTTATTCTAAGTGAGTGACTAAGAGAACCAGTAGTAAGAAAGCAGTGGCAAGAGGCTGATAAAAGAAGCCTATTCAGATTAGCAGTTTAATTCATAACAACCTGGATGGTGGCTCAAGAAACATGGACTCGGCTCCTAGCTCAAATCAGAGTGGATGGAACTGTGGGCAATGCAATTTACAAAGAGTTTAGGTTTCCCGTCGGGGCTTGTTACCGTTTTCCAGCTTCACAGGGGTGCTAAAAGGATCCAGTCAGTTTTAACACCTGATATCCTCAGCTACTCTGGCAGGATTCCTCCGTAGAAAGAGGCTCTGTAGCTAGCATGTGTATCTATATCAAAAGTTGTTTAAATAGTTATAATGGGCTTTTACCTATTAAAGAATAAATCTATTTTAACAATTTTTTCTGAGCATTTTCCTACACTGCTTAATGATAAGTAAATCCCCAAAGGCTTAATGAATTAAAGAATCGGCTTCAAACACACAGAATAAAATTTTACTCCTAATAAGCTACTGACTTTTCTTGAATATGTTTTTAAACCTGTTTCTCCCTTTATTATACAGAACCCTCTAGACTAAGTGGAGATGTGATGCCAGCAATACGAAATTGTTTTGGGGCTCCCTGTTTATTTCCAGAGTTTGTTACGTTCCTGTCTGTCTACCAGATTAACTTGTCAAGTGGCTTTAGCTTCCAGGAGAAAATCTGAAAGGGCCTTTTTTAGAGCGTTTCCCAGCAGACTGCAACTAAATCTAATGGGAACAATAAGCCACTAACTTTCTGCTTTTATTATTAGATGCCCTTCTAGAGGGACCAGCTGAACTCTCGACAGATCACACAGCTCAGGCTGGAGGCAGGGTTTGAGAGGAAGATACCATATAATGACTTGCTGCTACCAAGAGGAAAACTCTTGCTAAGATCACCCCCATCCCTCTTCCCCTGCATCGCTCCCAGCCACACAACCCACTCTCTCCCCCCTCTGGGCTGTGGTGCTCTCCAGACACGAAAACAGCAGAATATTATTTTTGCTTGTTTACTTTTCCATTGCTTTAGTGTGTTAAATCTGTTCACAGAAGGATCTGCAGAGCATCCCAGCCCATGTAAGCTGTCAGAAGGGGGAAAAGAGGAATTAAGAGTAAAACATACGGCAGTGTGTGCTCTTAAATCTGTTCACTGCATCTCAGACACGGTTTTACTTGACAGCTGAGACAAATAAACAGCTTCTGGATCACAAAAGGCTCCATCCTTTCTAGTTCTTCCCCCCCAAAATGTTTCTCTTTGCACTCATTCATAGTCAAGTTTGTTCAACTCATCAACCCAGCAGAGAAAAATGAAAAATGCATTTTTAATTGCTTTTGCTGCTGATTTAGCAAGTTGAATCACCTAGTATGGGATGAGTTCCCGAGCCAGCATCCAGGCGAGCTGTGGGAACAGAGCCCGGAGCCTGGTAAGGGAGGCCGGAGTCGGGAACATGACGGAAAGCAGCAGGACTTCCCCTTGCAGTATCTGTGCCTGGTGGTTTGGATCAAGCCATTTTGTGAAACCGTACCCTGAATTACACCACCAGCGATGCTGCAAGCGTTGCCTAGTAAATGTAAGCTCATCGAACAACCGATGTCTTTAGCACCACGTTCCCCAGGACATACTGAGATGCTTGCTGTCAGATCCCCCTCAAGCAGAACAGCTTCAAGTCTTACGTGGCGGATGCTTGCAGGAGATTAGTCAAATAAACTTTTCGTGCTTCTCTTTCTGAAGATGATGACATCAACATAAGACAAAATTTTCAGGTGGAAATTGCGCACTTTGCAATTTTGTACCCAGAAGAATACTGTCCACAAAACAGCTCTATTCAGTCAGGCACGAGCGCTTCCTCCGCCCCGCAGAAGAGGCCTAAGAGGAGGAAAGGCCGCACCTGCCCGGCCCGGAGCCAACCCCGCGGAAGCGGCCGCGGCCGCCCGCCCGGAGACCCG